GCCACTCTCGACTCCCACCTCTCTTTCTTTCTTTCTTTTTTTCTCTCTCTCTTTCTTTCTATCTCTCTCATTCTCTCTTTCTCTCTCTCTCGCTCTCTCTCTCTTCTTCTTCTTCTTCTTCTTCTTTTTCTCTATCTCTCGTTCTCTCTGTTCGTGTATGTATGCGGGCGTGTCCTCTTGAATGCATGCATACGCGCAAGTGTGTATGCATGCATGTCGCTACGTGTTTGTCTGTCCCCTATTGTCCCTTTTCTGTTTACTTCCCTATTGCATCTTTCGCTCACGGAAGGGACGTCTTCCGACTTCCGGGTGGGCGTGTCACTTTATATTTTTGTTTGTGTGTAAATAATATCTTCCCGAGATAAATTGCGAGTTTTCCGTCGAAAGCGGGGAAATCGTATACATTAGAAACAAATGCTGCGATATTTTTTTGTTGTTTGTTTTATGCAGTGGTGAGAAGTTTGTGTCTTAAAACTCGAGTGGCTCCAGGCGTTTGTGTTTGTGCTCCTCGCCTCTCGCACACAGATTTGAAGGGGCGGTCAGTCAGTTGTTCAGCCATTCTCCCATTCTTTGCGCCCTGCTATTGTACAGGCATTTAGTCGGCAGTTTAAGTGAATTCTGACAAAACCCAAATCTCCCATTCTATCCCTTAATTGGCTACGCTTCTTTGCCGAGACTCGACCCTCGGGCCATGCAAATAGTTGTAAATAATGGAAGCAGCCAAGACGGGGAGCGAGCCCACACCTTACAGGGTCGCTCACGCCAAGACGTGTGATGTTTGAAATGGAAATACATCCTTTCTCAGCAGTCGCCGAGCCCTCTCGCCTTGTGTTTACTTCTTTTTTGTGCACGTGTCTCCGGGCGCGCAGCTGGAAGTCTCGCGGTGCGAGTTCAGTTCCCCTCGGGGCCTTCCGAGCTTGAGCTATTGACAGTAGACAAGGGATAAAAAAGCACCCGTGTAGTACTGAAAACAAAAGCTGGAAGTAAATAAACAGCCTGTTCCGGGGGCAGCGCGTATCGACTTGATACCCCTCCCGTCTCTGCCCGCCGGCCTCTGAGGTGATACCGAACACACTCCACGCCTATAGAGCTCTCGCCCACGGCTTCGCAGGACGCTGTTTATACTCACGTACATGATGAAAAGCATTCTCAATGTCAATGTGTATATATTTCTTTGTAAAGAGGAATCATAGAAAACAATATGGGAGGATTCTTTCCCCCTTTAGCAGTACTCTGGTGCCAGAAATTGCGAGTCTACGGTCTGTGCACTTATGCACGTGTTTTGATAGTATGACTTACAGCTGGCTCACACTTGGGAATATTATTTATTCTAAGAAGACCACAACTTGCGATTCCTTCATTGTCCTTTGAATATTCAACAGCTTTTGCCAGTTTCTCACATAACGCTTCACACATATGGAACCGCCTGCGCTCCCACAAAAGACAGAATTGTTTACCTTACCGCTGAATAGATATAGGTGACATTCTTGGAAAGGTGTATGTTGTCTTCAGCACAAGATTTGGAAAGTATGAAGTGTGGTCTTTGATTTATACTAGTTGTTTAAAGTATAGGCATGCAATGCATCATGCACGTGCAATGGGAACCGTCAGCCTCTCACTTTTATCCTATAAATCTTTAATCATCAACCGCGTAGTTTAACATTTAGAACGCGTTCACAATACACATACTGCATCCTTGCAGAGCAGACTGCGAACAGAATGTGGCAGGATCTACTTTATGAATTCAATCAGCGTTCGCCAAGTGCCCAAGTAAAAAGGAACATTTAAGGACAATGTAAAAAATTTATTGTATTTAATTTGTGTCTCTCTAGAGCGGCATTGCGGTAGGCCGTCTGTAATTCGAAATGTAAACCGACAAAGGATGTTTTATGCAGTACTTCATCTATTTTCCCGGCTCCTACATCCCTTCTCATTAAAAAGAGAAAACATCTATCAGTCCTGGTCAAACGACAGTTGGTTCTAACGGACAAAAATCGTGGACAAAAGAATCAAGGCGAGGAGCACAAAAGCTGGTGGTCAGCGCAAGAATTCTTCCGAGGCTGCTGGCGGGCTGAGGCCAAACGAAAGCCCTATTGTAACTCTACATCTCC